ATATGTGTGTGTGTGTGTATATGTACATATATATATATACCGTAGTAATTGTGCCTGACATTCTGCTCATGATCAGAGGGACTGAATACACTTGGGAGTTGGGAGGTCGCCTCACATGTGTGAGCACTCAATGCATGCCTTGTCTGTTTTTCTTGATTGAAAGGCATCCGGACCTTCATATTTGGTTCCAACGCTCTATCTGTGTCCTACGATTCCGGAATATGACGTGCCTACCGGACTTGACCATGTACTCATAGAGCATACGGTAGTGTGGGCAGCACTTACGCTAAACGCCCCAGTCAATTGTGACCTAGGACATGGCTAAGTCTTGAACTTACACATTGCCTGTTTCCGTATTGCGGGGCATGACCCTCTAGAAGAAAAGTAGAAATAAAATAAAAAACAATATAAGGGATCGAACTAGCGTCGGAGGGACGATGGCCATGTGAGGTGGGTGTTTTAACGCGTCGGTGCTGCTTAACGCTAGTTCGGTTGCCCCATACCTCATGTATGCATACTCTGTAGTATGTGTATATTTATTAAGAGCCACAGCCACTGATAGCCGGCATGGTGCACACCCTTTGCAGCTGCATAGGTACGTGAATTTGGTGTCGCAGATGATCGTCTAAGATCAGGAGCATCTGTGATTTGAACTGCGTACACGATTCCAAATAGGTCCAGTCCTGCCTAGTTGCCTTCACACACAAGCATCTCCACATAGCCCACACCAGACTCGGGTAACAAAAGAAAACTACCTCTAACATTAACTCTAAAACTACTTCTAACACTACCTCTAAAACGATCTCTAACACTACCGCTAAGACTAACTCTAAAACTACCTCTAACACTACCTCTAAAACTACCTCTAAAACTACCTCTAACGCTACCTTCAAAACTACCTCTAACACTACCTCTAAAACTTCCTCTAAAACTACCTCGAACACTACCTCTAAAACTACCTCTAAAACTACCTCTAAAACTAACTATAACACTATCTCAAACATTACTTCTAAAACTACCTCTAACACTACCTCTAACACTACCTTTAAAACTACCTTTAAAACTACCTCTAACACTACCTTTAAAACTGCATCTAACACTACCTCTAATACTACCTCTAAAACTACTTCTAAAACTATCCCCAACACTACCTCAAAAACTACTTTTAAAATTGCTTCTGAAACTACCTCTGACACTACTTCCAAAACTACCTCTGAAGTTCCTTTAAAACTACCACTGTAACACTGCCCCTACAACTACCTTCATACCTACTGCTTAAGCCACCACTAATCTACCACTAAAACTACTTTTAAACTACTACTAAAACTACCTCTGAAATTACTTCTAAAATTACCTTTAAAATTATATTCAAAACTATCACTAAAACTACCACAAAAACGATCTCTAAAACTATCTCGAAAACTATCTATAAAACTACTTTTAAAACTACATTTAAACCTACCTCTATACTTACCTCTAAACCTACCTCTAAGCCTACCTCTAAAACTCCCTTGTAAAATTGTGTATCTAGGCGTGCTTGATCATAGCCTCCTTCATAGGAGGCTATGGCTTAACTATACATTTGAACCCCCAAAACCCTAAAACATGTTCCGCAGGGTTGAAGGATTCATCGATGTGACTGTGAAACTTAGATGTTTCTGGCTTCAAAGCCCCTACCGTCGGGCCTTGCATGGGTGCAAACATCCTATCCACACAACCCATTTCAGAATCCGTTAAAATCATTTATACATTGCTTGCTATACATCCACACAACCAATTTAAGAATCCGTTGAAATTTATTATTCATTACTTGCTACATGCTGTCCAGATTCGCCTATCACTCAAGGTGCAATATATGGCTCATCCACACCACACGCCTAAGCATACCATACACACTCCTAAGCGTACCATAGTTTCATAACCTTGTCCTTGCCTCCACTGGCTACTTTTGTGCCGTCGGGGCTCCAGTCAGCCGTAAACACCTCATCCGCATGGCCCGGTAACTGTTCCTGTATCTTTGCGGTCTTGGTGTTCCATACTATGATGGTACTGTCTTTTGACGCAGACAGCAACAGTCGACTGTCGGCAGACCACGCCGCCTAGTATGGGAGAGAATATATATGTAAGATAATGACAGATGAGAGCAGAATAAAACGATGTAAGGGCAGTTGTAGACGTACATGAAGGTACGTGCGCACGTATCTCGATCTATGTGGCCAGCAATACGTACATATTTGAATCCATGTACATGAAGGTACATCCGTACGTATCTAGATCTATGTAGCCAGCAATGTGTACTTATTTAAATCTATGAACATGAAGGTACATGCGTATGTATCTAGATCTATGTAGCCAGCAATGTGTACTTATTTGAATCTATGTGCATGAAGGTTCATGCGTACGTAGTTGGATCTAAATGTGTATGTAGTTGAATCTATGTACATGAAGAACAGAAAAGGCTGCGTCATCCGTTCCCCTGGTGTTCAAACAAAAAGTAGGCGAGATCAACAATATATAATACAATACAATACAATACAATACAATACAGTACAGTACAGTACAGTACAGTACAGTACAGTACAGTACAGTACAGTACAGTACAGTACAGTACAATACAATACAGTACAATGGTGTGTGGCATCAGAGAAGCCATATGCCCTGTCGCCACCGCTTCACAGTGAGTTTTAGGGTTTCAAGGTATTAGTGTCTAAAGGTTTTCATTTACACAACACATGTGTGATTGTCATACCTGGTAGACAGCTGCCACGTGGCCTCGCATAGTCTGTTTGAATTTTCCGGTGCGCCCGTCCCAAGTCTTCACACTATTGAATGCGTATGAATGAAGACATAAACTGAATCAACGTATGAAGACAGATAAACCGAATCAGCGTATGAAACAGCAGATGAGCACACAATAACTGCTGCGACTGCTTTGAATCCTCAATGGTCCATGCCTGGCAGTTCGGTACAGACCGAGTGCCTTTTCTACCTACCTCTTGTCGAAACTAGCACTGGCTAGCGTGCACCCGTCGGGCGAGAACACCACTGAATTGACCAGTTGCTGGTGTCCTGTGAGTCGGGCTAAGGGTTTCTTATCGGTCTTTGGTGTCCACAGAAACATCGTGAAATCATCTGAGGCTGAGGCGAGCCGTTCGACACCGCCACACGAGTCTAATAGTTTGTTGTACTTGTCTTGGGCCGCTTTCGTGGCTGTCGGTAAGTAAATTGGTAAGGTGTCGGTAGGTAAATTGGTAAGATGTCGGTAGGTAACTTGGTAAGGTGTGGGTGAGAGACGATGGGATAAGAGCTGCCGCATTTGTCCTTCCTGCTCGTGGTATCATAAGAGTATTCGGGTGTGGGTGTGGTATCCACTCACCCGCACTACCCACGAACAAACATCCAAGGAACTTCCACCAACTGAAATACATACCAAATATATATACATGCACACGTACACACACACACACTAACACACACCCCAATTGTACACGCTTCGTACTTGTACAAAGATCGTAGCGCCGTAGAACTAGTAGTTCCCAAACGACAGTCGTTTTGGGACTACTAGTTCTAACGGCGCTACAAGCTTTATACAAGTACAAAGCGTGTACAATTGGGATATATATTTGAAGTTTCACAGCCATTTTGAAAAGTGTTTGTGAGTGGATAATGTACCGTCGTATCGTACGTGTGTTGCAGCTGAAGTAAGAGTATTCGGTTGTGGGTGTGGTGTCAAAAGCGCATTCGGGTGTAGGTGTGGTGTCATAAGAGTATTCGGGTGTGAGTGTGGTATCATAAGAGTATTCGGGTATAAGTGTGGTGTCATAAGAGTAATCAGGTGTGGGTGTGGTGTCATAAGAGTATTCGGGTGTGGGTGTATCAGTAGATTGCGATTGATTTAGTATTCGGGTGTGAGTGTGGTATCATAAGAGTATTCGGGTGTGGGTGTATCAGTAGATTGGTATTGATTTAGTATTCAGGTGTGTTGTACGTGTCTGGGGCCACTCTCGTGGTATTAGTCGGGACGTGATGAAACATGAGCGAGCACGTATAAAGAGAGTGCCCCAACTACAGATACTTCTCATGACAAGCACCATATAACAATATCAGGGGTGCCTACCTCTAATTCAACAAGTCTCATACTACTAGGGTTACCTACCAATAGCTTTCCAAGTCCCATATAATACTAGGGTTACCTACCAACAGCTTTCCAAGTCCCATATAATATTAGGGTTACCTACCAATACCTTTCCAAGTCCCATAATATATTAGGGTTACCCATTAATACCTTTCTAAGTCCCATAAGTCTCTTATGATATCAGGACTACCTACCACTCTCTTTTCAAGTCCCATACAATACTATTAGATGCGCCTACCTTTAACCTTGTCTGGATCTCTGTAGCCTCTGTGATCGTAGGGGCCTGTTCGACAGGCAAAGGCCGTGTTTATACACAGTTGGTTGATGCGGTGGGCATGACCCTCCAGTGTGCGTACCAGTGCCCCGTCACTCGCCCTCCAGACCTGCCCGCATATCACAAATGAGAGAATGGTGGGTGTGGTCAGATACATTGCATGGGTGTATCTAATTGGTTACCGTATGGACAGGTGTATATAGCTTGTTGTGTGTCTGTGGATCTGCTTGCCAGACTTGCCACTCGGCGCATCCCGGCTGAAAGCATTGAGAGGTGTGTGGCATATAGAACATAGCCTCAACCCGCAGTCCACACCATACTATAAAGTCAATCATGTAAGTGATATATATGCAAGCAGTCCTCACCATACTATAAAGTCAATCATGTAAGTAATATATATATAAGCAATCCACACCATCCTATAAATTTAATCATGTAAGTGCTATATATGTAAGCAGTCAACACCATACTATAAAGTCAATCATGTAAGTGTTATATATATAAGCAATCCACACCATCCTATAAAGTCAATCATGTAAGCTATATATGTAAGCAATCCACACCATACTGTAAAGTCAATCTTGTAAGTGTTATATATATATGCAATCCACACCATCCTGTAAAACTAATCATGCAAGTGTTATATATGTAAGCAGTCCACACCATACTGTAAAGTCAATCATGTAAGTGCTATATATGAAAGCAATCCACACCATCCTATAAAGTCAATCATGTAAGTGCTATATATGTAAGCAGTCCACACCTTACTGTAAAGTCAATCATGTAAGTGTTATATACATAAGCAATCCACACCATCCTATAAAGTTAATCATGTAAGTGCAATATAGGCAAGCACTCCACACCATACTATAAAGTTAATCATGTAAGTGCTATATATGAAAGCAATCCGCACCATGCTCTATAGTAAATCATGTAAGTGCTATATATATAAGCAATCCACACCATACTATAAAGTTAGTCATGTAAGTGCTCTATATGTAAGCAATACACACCATACTATAAAGGTAATCATGTAAGTGCTATATCTGTAACTATATGCAATGCACACCATACTATAAAGTTAATCATATAAAAGCTATATATGTAAGCAGTCCACAACATAAAGTCAATCATGTAAGTGTTATATATAAAAGCAATCCACACCATACTATAAAGTTAATCTTGTAAGTGCTATATATGTAAGCAGTCCACACCATCAAGTCAATCATGTAAGTGTTATATATATAAGCAATCCACACCATCCTATAAAGTTAATCATGTAAGTGTCATATATGTAAGCAATTCACACCATACTATAAAGTTAATCATGTAAGTGCAATATATGTAAGCAATCCACACCATACTATAAAGCTAATCATGTAAAAGCTATATATGTAAGCAATCCACACCATACTATAAAGTCAATCATGTAAGTGTTATATATATAAGCAATCCACATTATACTATAAAGTTAATCATGTAAGTGCCTTTAACGTAAGTGCCTCCTAAATGGCACCATACTATAAAGTCAATCATGTAACTGCCATATATGTAAGTGCCTCCTAGATGGCGCGCTTGACCACCGCACCAGCAGACTCGACGGTCACTTGCAAACGAACACCACACGGCTCAGTGCAACAGATGCTTAGCCATGTCCTCGCTCTCACAGCCGCCCATGCTCGATGGGTTGATAGCCACTCAGCTCACAGAGAAGCCAGTTCGGTGCCATACCTTGATGGTCCGGTCCAGCGATGCCGAGTAGATGAGACCCTCTCCACCCCAAATTACAGACGTTACGCTTTGCGTGTGTTGTGATAAGGAGAAGAGCACCTTGTGCCTGGTGTGTGTGTGTGTGCAGCGGAGAGAATGCAAGCGGCACGTCTGTGAACACGTTTGCGACACCGAAGGAAGTCATGCTAACGGATTGTATTACTTGTGCTGACTGATTGTAGTTGTATGAGGACTGGCTACGTAGACAATATGTTAGCGCTTGGTTGTATAGATATGAATTTTTACAGGATGATAATTCAAGAAAGCATGTGGAGTGCTGTGGCGGGCGTACAATTATATATATATATATATATATATATCAATGTGGAATGTGTGCGTGTAAATATGTAAGCTTATGTACAGGGGCAGAACTCTCAAGTGCTACCGAACTGATCCCACTCCATACCGACAGCTTTTGAGCAATATAGTGGCTAGTTGATGCTGCTGAACGGCAAGTGCGCATGGCTCTATCTTCTAAGCAACGCTTCAGAACTCAATAGAGAATCGTACACCATGAACCCACATACACATACACATGCACATGCACATGCACATGCACATGCACATGCACATACACATACACATGAGTGATACAGCTGACTAGAAATATATACATATATCATCTTGAAAGAGCGACCCGAGTGTACAACTCCGCCGGCACGCACCTTACTGTGTCCCAAACTTTAACAGTCCCGTCCTTACTCGATGTCGCCACTCGGTTACACTCTGGGTTTGCATGGAATGGCTCCCAGGCAATGGACGCCACGTGCTTCCCAACTTTGTGTCCGTTTTTAAATCCTGGCAGGTTGGAGAGAGGGATACTATACGTATAAGTAAACTCGGAGATATACACATGTAAACTCGATGTATGTATA